GTGCAAAAGCATGAATGTAAAAAATCAAATGTAAACGCAAATAGCAAGCCTGCTCAAGGGCCTGGAAACTGCACAATACATCAATGCCACACCCAGATTTCGGTGGGATTCAGTCTGGCTATGTGTGCGAGTGGACAATGGCATGAATCTGACATACTGGGCCGCCTGCCTGGATCAACACGACAACAGCTCCTCATGAGGGACAGCATCACTTGTAGGCAGTCCCTGTAACTGACACCGCATGGCTCGCAGCCCATTCTTTTCTTGTTTATGAGCCCCAGTTGATTCATCCCACCATCACAGGGGGTCTTTCCAGTATCCTGTACATTGCCACCCCCAAACTGTAAGCATCTGATTCCTTTGTTGGGTGTTTGCCTTCGCAGATCTCTGGGGCAAGCCAGTGCGGGGCCTATCCTGCTTGCCTGATAGTTTTGCCTCTGTTTTCTTCAATTTCAAATGTTTGACAATCGCTAACTTTCACAAGGAATGCTTCAGGATTTGAACCAAACACCAAGAAATTGGAAGGCTTCAAGTCTGCGTCCACAAGGCTTCAGGAGTGCATGTAATAGCTCCCTCTGCTGCATACCTCAGGAGCGAAGGTTCAATCTCCAATCCACCTCCATGTGCATGTAATCGCACACCTTTCGCAGATCTTTTTTTGCCAGTTCCATCACCAAACACCCAGTGGTCGTTATAGCATGGAGCCATGCAATGTGGTTGTGATTCAGATGCGCCTGTGTAGCGGCTTCACTGACGACCTTGCCAAGATCTTCAATGAAAACTTCACCTTCGGAACTTTCACAGCCACCGTCTGTATTACAGAACTACTAGAGCTGTTCGGCTATTCACCTGCATGCACTATGGCCAACCCGCCTTTGCCGACTGTATTTCCAACGGAATATCTCCTTCATCATCCACCATTTTGAGCATTCTCACATGTACATCAGGTGCATTTTTGTTTTTGCACCACCTCTGGAGCTGCCGATTATCTGAACGGCTGTGGTCCCTATTCAGAATGTACTTCAGAAGAGTGTGCAAATCCTTTGGTCCATATCCGCAAGTTGGGTGTGAGCAGGTCGTTGATTTCCTCTGCATCCTGCATGCCCCCACCCCTCAGTACACTTTCAAGAGCCCAACATATCGACTTCCCACCATCATGGACAATGTCAACAATGCAGAAATTCACGAATAGTGAATGGGCTTTGTGACTGTCAATGAGCCTCTGCCCTTTGGCAATATGAAAATAGAAAGATCGGACAGAATCGCTAAATGAATTTGGTGGCTTTTGTACACCCCGCACTGTGACCAGCTGCGTCTGCAGAAATACCATCATCTTGCGATTGTACTGGATGTCTTGCAGCTCCTTTGCAGCCTGTCCACAAGAGTTACGAAACAAACACACGTCATGTCTCCAGCAATCCTGTGCACTATGGGGTGGGTTGTCGGGTAAAAGCTCTTTGTCACCAACAAGCAACAGCCTCACACAACACGACGGTGCGCATGTGCGCACGGGTGGTATTTTTCTCCTCTCCATTTGAAGCCGCACCCCGAATCCCCAATCGGAAGAGCTTGGTGAGCGTCTTCTGTGCGCTCTGCTCCATTGCCGAATTGGCTGCTCCCCAAACGCATCCTTGGCTTGGAAATCGCCTGGCAGCTCGATACACAGCAGCTGTATTCCGCTGCTTACATTCGCGTTAGCGAAACAAAACGGGGCCCTTGGGCCCTGTAGGTGACTACGTTTGCACGGGGCACACAGCACCGCATTGTGATCCCCCCCTTTCCTTCTCTCACCATGGTCTGCTACTGCATCACGAGGACAAACGACAGCGCTCCCTGCTCCCAAAGCGTAGCTGTGTTTCCCGACAAAGACCTAGAGAGCGCGCATTTACAGATGCACAGGGCTTCGCATTGAAGCAATTTGGATGTCAGGAAGCTTTGGGCCGGGAGAGGGCCCGAGCGCGGCAAAGCAAACAAAAACAACACGAGCGCAAGGGTCAAGTCATGGGGAGCTGCCAAAACATTAGCAGGGCTCTGCGCTTGCTGGTGCCCCGCCATGCTCACCTTGCCCGACAAGGTGTGCAGTCCAGCAACCAGCCTCGCACCCGCGCAACGGTGCTCCAGTCAAAGAAGACCGCGGCCGCGTCTTTGACGCCAAAACGCGTCGTGATGTCGATCTGCTGCGCTCATCGTACGCCACCCGGGCGAAAGAGCTGCAGCACCAGTGATTTCACACCAGCTGGTGTGCACGAGATTGTCCGCAACCAGGCCAAGGGATCAGCTCTCTGGCCAACACCGCTAGTTCGTCTTCCCGCCAGCGGCGGCACCTTTCGAGTTTGTCGAACCGAAAGTAGCGACCACGGCCCCAAGGAACAACCGGAAACGGGTTTCGATGCCCAGCGCTGGGCGTCGGCAAAACGGCGGGGCGCGGTGGCGGCCTGTGTGCCTCGGAACAAATCCTAGCGTCCGGGGCCCTCGCAAGCAGCAGGAGATCCTTACAATAAGGTGCGGCCATTCACTGCACAGAAGAACCCTGACATTAGGTTCAGGGCCCACCCGGGCGATGGCGTTCTGGGCCACAAATGAGTTGTGCGGACAACGCGGGATTACGTCATAACAATCATAAGCAAATTGCTGGATTTTCGGCTGAAATTTTCAGTGAACTACTGGTGCCTGGGCTGAACAGTGGCATATCGTAGACACCAGTGGTATCTGATGCTGTGTGGCACAACAGCATCAGGCCTGTTGCTCTTCAGGATTTTGTGGCTACAATTTTGTCAAAATATTGTAATTGACATGTATCCCGTGGACTAATGGCTGACCTTCCTGCACCCTCAACATGAGGAGATGTTCAGCTTGCAATTTGGAGGGAGCTCTTGTGGAACCGACTGGCTGAGGGTACAGTGCAGTGGCAACGATAATGTACTACGCAGCTTGCGAAATTGTATCCAAGCAGCAGTACGATCCGCAGGGAGACCGGGACTGTGAGCAGTCAGATGAGTGCCAATTGAAGCGGAAGTGGTTCATGAGGCACCGGCCAGCGCCGCTCAGGCTTGATCTCTACGTTTGACGGCACCACTTTTATGTTTTTAGAGTTTTTGCGTAACAACGCATTAGCACGGAAACGACTGTTGCCACGGCTCTATTTGCGTGTATTCGCGGCGCGTCGAGGCGCCCAGGTTGCGTGATGAAGTCGCAAAATAATGGTCAGTCCTCCGCACACTGGAGCACCCACAACACAACGTCCACCTCGCCCTCGGCAAGAGCAACGACGTCGTCGAGCACCAGGTCGTTTTCTGCCCACTCCAGATCGCCTAGCTGCCACTCCACGGACTCCCGGAGTCTGCACGTACTGTATTTCTGTACACAAGGCCTGTAGTCATGTACTTTTACGCGATTAATGCACGAAAACGTCAACGTACAATGGTGCATCAACGTAAAGACCAACCTGGGTGCGACTCATTGCGTTAATGACCTCCGAAGGGAAAAAATCCTAGAGTTACACAGTACTTTCCCTCCAGGGCATGTGGAGGATGTAGTTGTCTTTTCTCGGTACGTGGATTGTTTGTTGCGACAGCTGTCCCAAGCGGCGCTTTCTCACAGCCGCGAACTAACTCCATGCCTTTCTAGATTCTAGGCGCGGACCTTCATCGGCAGCCGGATGTGGGAGCGGGAGCAATTGGAGTAGGCACGTAACAGCTAACAACTGTATCCTCCAGCAACAGACTAAACCACAAAGCTTCACGGCGTTCCCTTTGTGAGGGCCATTGTGCTACGCCGCTTGCCCCAGAGAGACATTCTTGACTACAGTTTTGGCAAGTGGCTTGCTGTTGGTAGGTAGTAGTTGCCTTGCTCCTTTCCCATCGTCTGTCTCATGTCGCCTGTCCCATCGTTGTCCCCAGTGCTGGCTTGCCTTGCGACTGGGAAGGGTGTGGAGTGTGCCTTGTGTACGATACTTTACCACATTTGCCAGTGTTTTATTGCACGAGTGCGCCGGGGTACTAACTGATCTACCAAGGGTGTGACTTGCGTGGTTGCTGGAGTATCCTGGCGCCACATGGTATTTAAGCGAACAAAATGTTATCATAAAATCGAAAAGAAAGTAGCGCATGGACGTGCCAATGATGGACAGAGCTGCTTTGTACTTCGTGCTTCCAAGCACCACTTGCCCCGCGACTCACCCACGTATCGCGGGCCAGCTTCTGTGTCCACACGGACGTGTTTTAGCCATCAACACCAAGCTGCTAACTCCCACATTAATGGCAACGGGCTGGCGGCAAGTGAGCAAATAACAACGGTAGGGATATTGCTTCATTTATGGAAAAGCGGAGTTGTCGAGCACAAGAAGTTGTTTTTCAATCAAACATCAATCAAGGGGGTTAGATAATCCCGAGTTAACGGCTCGGGTTACAACCATTACACACAGCTGTCCACATCGTTAACCGTCCAATACCGTTCACAGCAATCTCACCTCCCATCGGCGAGAGCATGGTAACCATATCCGACCCATCGAATCGTGTATTGCAAAAATATCTGGCACAAATCCCGTCCGTCTTTTTGTCCCGTACAGAAAAACCGATGAAAGAATCCCCTTAGAAAACGATCACAGCGGCCTAGCCGAAGCTTATGTTGGCTGCTCATTGCAGCACGCGCAATCAGCTGGCTCAATAATTGCTACCAATAATGAATCATCAAGAACGGCAGAAGAACGTGCACAACACACAACACATGTCGTGCTCTTTTCTCGTTATGGTTCGGTTCCCACGCAAGTCCGACGGACGCCAACGCAGCATTTGGGTGCCGTCATTCGTTACCATGCCCAATCCCCGACTCTCCCAGGAACGAACTCCGTGCTAAACAATCCCCTCAGGCGTTTTTGAGCGACAAGCTGAGTCGATCGACAGGATAGAGCTCATCTGAACACGATTTGCGCTCCTGTCCGAGCGACAGGCGGAAGCAACAGAAAAGTGCAAGGCGAGGCAGCCAGGCAGATGCCGCCCTTCTCACGACCTTGTCTTCCTCTGCAGCACGTAGTAGATGATCGCACGGGTGGAGACCAGCAACCCAAACAGAAAAACAACCTCAGGCCAGACGGAGTCATTGACGTCCGACGGCAGATTCAATGCATTCTGCAGACTGTCCACAGGCACGCACTCCGCGACCCCATCGTTCGACTCGCCCAGCCCGCCACAGTCCACGAAGGACCGGTCCCCAAACTCGATCTTCAGCAGCAGGCTGAAGCCCCACCACATGAAGCTCCCATACTTTAGCCACCCCACCCAGTCGGGCACGTCCCGAACATAGAAGCCGCCGACAAGCATCAGTGCCAGCATGAGCACAGATATGATGGTCTGCGCCTGTTGGACATCCATCACGCTGGCTCCAATGAGCATTCCCAGAGATTGGGCCACCAGGGTGATGAGCATGATCGACAGCCAGTTAGCCAGGAATGCCACAAAAGTGACCCTTAGGCCAGTGGACCAGTAGACGATGATGACAAACAAGCTGGGGATAGTGCAGTCCATGGGGAGGTCGGAGAGCGTGCGAGCGATGTAGAAGGTGGACAGGCGGTACATGCCACTGCGCCGCTCCTTGAGCATCATGTTGAAGTCAGAGGGGAAGGTGAACAGGGCCCGGAACATGGCATAGAAGCCCATGAAGAGCATCTCGAAAAATAGGAGGCCAACAACGTCAGAGGCGGCCAGCAGGGTGTCGCCTCCACCAACCTGCCACCACAGGATCCCTGGGGAGGGCCATGGGACCAGTCAGTACTTTGTCCCAGTACTTGCCATCTGGTACATTGCCGAAGCGCGTGATGTTTTTATCTGACTTCGTACTTTGTACTGGTAAGTTATTCTCACTACATTGCTCCAGTACTTTGTGCTCCATTACATTGTCCCAGTACTGTTATATAGTGCTTTGTCATTCTAGTGCCAGGTATTGGGATGTTATAGTGTCAGGCACTTGGATGTTGCTTGATTCAGGCAGTGGGGCACAGTGCGGGTTGCAGTGGGGCACAGTGCGGGTTCCAGTGGGGCATAGTTTATGGCTTGTGCCGTTCTCCTATAAATAGACAGCTGCAGTGAATAGACTATGAACTGTAATGGACAGCATACCTTTTTGTTGGGCTGACCCACTTGTCGACCCACAAATTTACTGGGTGTCAGATTGTGATGCAGGTGATTTGAATTGATGACAGAATGGAAAGATTGGAAAAAATGATTGACGGATGGAATCGACCGAAACGATTGACTACCTGCAGCATGCACTGAAAGTTCGAAATGGTTGGAACCTATGCAGTTTCAATGACTGAAGGGAGTGGACAGCAACCATGTGAACCGATGCCATAAAGTAATTTAACAAATGTTGAGGTTGAAAGAACGCAGGACTGCATACCAGCTGGTCTCCACTCACCTGCGATGGCAGCCACCAGCAGCAGACGGAGGTAGTTCTGCAGCCCCAGGGCATCGGTCCTCCGGACCTTCACACAGCGCTGGAACAGGATGCCGATCTGTCCACAATAGCTGGCACCCCACCTATCAGACCGCTTCATCAATGATGACTCTTCCTCCTCCAGCTCTTCAAGCTGCTCAGCGTGCTTTCCATCCGTGACCTTAACCTGGCAAGGCGCACCACAGGGTGAGCTGTTGTCAATCATTTCCCGAATTTGCCACTTCTGTCTCACGTTTTTTGGCAACAGCAAATAACACATTCAGTAAGTATATCCTCCCTATCCTCAAGCTGAAATGAAGAGTGAGACACCGGACTTGGCACATGGCAGTACTGAACTCAGATCATGAGGTAGCTCCAACTTTTCCAGATGGTCTTTAAATGCTTCGCACTGCTTAGTAGCAAAATAATGACATACTGACCAGCCCACTGACCATCAACTGAAAGCCAGGACTACTATGCCCACTGCAACTGTCTGCAGAACGTGGTGAGTATTCAGCATTGCCCCAATCGTTATCCTGCCATCGTACCCATTCGATCCCACTTCTCTTCTGTCACTCTTGAGAGGAGTACTAACATATGCACAACTATGAAAATGCACAGCTGAAGGGTTCTACAAATGCACACCTAAAAGGATTGAAGGCATGTTCAGAAAAGCACAGAAAAGGGAGGAAACCATTACAAAGGGTGACAACGAAAGCCAACAGTAAGTCAACAAGTAAACAAATGTGCTCCAGAGCCCCACCTGCAAAGTTGCTGGCGCATTCTCAAAGCTCTTTAGGCCCGTGGCTGGGATGGCGTCCAGAAGCTCGGCCTGATCCTGGAGGCCTTGGGGATGAGATGCACTGAAATAGCGGTAACGAGCTATGAGGCCCTCCCTTGCCTCGTCATCACGGCTGCACAGCATCAATCAGCAATGTCAGGTCCTAGATGCTGCCACAACATCATGCAGCGTGTTGGAAAAACAGCAGGATGCAAGGAACTGCAGCACACTTGTGCAGCCATACCTCAACGAGTGCAAATCCACAGCTCTAAAGGCAACTTTGCCAAAAGTTGCAGTGCTGAAGGCCAATCACAGCATAAAAGCAGCACAGACCACCAATCAAAAGACTTCACACAATGACCTTGCCAAGCAACTGCCTGGTCTCTTTGGATGGCTGTCTGGAGGAGAGCATGACATGACATTGTTGCACACCTGCCATCGGCCAACACATCCCCATTCGCCAGGTCCAGAATGTAGTCCGCGATGTTCACACCATAGGGACATTTGTAGTGCAGGTTGGTGAACCACTCGATGGCCAGCTTGCCTGATCCATAGTACATCGTGTGGCCCTCACTGAGCAACAGTACACTGTCCAGCTGCCTGTAGATTCGGCTGGATGGCTGGTGGATGGTGGTCAGCACAGTCCGACCACCCTCTGCCAGTCGCCTAAGGGTGGTCAGCAGGTTCATGGCAGTAGTGGCATCAAGGCCGCTGTTGCACATGTCAGCATTCAGTCAATGCACTGTCAGGAAAGTCAACATCTTGTTGCCTGCCACTGCACAGGTCATGCCATTTCGCACAAATAGTGTTTGCACAGAGTCAGAACTGTGGGCTGGGGTCCACAGATGTGATATTTGCTGGGCAATTTCTGTGAACAGCTGTGAGCCTCCAGCGTCTGCCATGAGCCATCCACACCACAACAACTATATCTTCATCCACTGCAACCTTTCAGCAGTCAGCTTTGGCAACCTGCTGCAGCTCCTGCATGGCACAGCTCCAGGTATTGGCAGGTGATCGCAGAACTGCTGCAAGTTCGTCTGAGTGCTGCACACGGGGCAAAATCCCAGACTAAAGCTAAGGGCATGTCCTCAGGACCTACTGCAGAATTGCGACATACCTTGTAGGCTCATCCAACAGCAGGAATGATGGGTCGATCAGCAGCTCGTGCCCAACGGACACGCGTTTCCGCTCACCGCCCGACACACCACGCATCATGAAACCGCCTAGGGCAGACAACATAAAGAGGCTAAGTAGAGACAAAAAGCAGCGCACAAAGTTAAGGGAAAGCGGACACAATTCCACAACCTAAGGTCTGGAGCTTTGCTGATAAGTTAATGAGATAAAGCAGCACGGAACATTCACTGGGAGTCAGTGATGCATGAAAAAGTTAATCTGAACCAATTTGAATGACAAGATCGTTCACTTGATTTGCTGATGCGGTATATTTAAACCTGTTGACAGCCAATTCGGTCGCACCTATGAGAGTGTCACGGCACTTCCCAAGACCAAGGGCTTCGATGACAGTATCAACTCTTTGCTTCTTCTGAGCCCTGCACAAGAGCAAACCCATCGTGCTTCAGTGGCGAACAGTAATGGTGAGAATAAATAAAACTGTGCATAAATGGCAAACCACAAAACCTCCAGAAATGCAAACAATACTCAGCACTGTGCCCTTCCCCTTCCACCTTAGGTAAGGTGGCGCAGGTACCGCATCTCCTCTTTTGGGACAGGCTGACACCCTTACACTCAATGTTATGTCATGTTCTGGAATGAAAGATCACAGACAGTGCATCGATAACAGTACCCAGCCAGGGCCAGAATATCACAGTTCATTGAAGCCGTCCACTTTGTGGCAAAGTGTCTTGGGCCCTGCACTAGTTCCACCTTTATCTGAAATCTTCTCAAAGAGGGGAGCCTCTGGTTCAGCGACAGGAAAGAATGGGTACAGTATGCAACATAACATGTGCAAAAAAGCACACATACTGATACAGTATTACCTACAGCAAAAGGGTTCCAGTGTCATTAAACCGTCATTACAGCTGCAACTGGTGACTGAAGACAAGAACAATTCGAGGCACACAAGCACTCACCTTGTCATGGTCTTTGGCAGCCTCAGCATGGCCGCGTAGTACAGGGTCTCCTCAACAGTGAGAGAGGCATACATAAGGTCGTCCTGCGGAAAGAAGGGCACAAGTCGGCACACCAAAGAACACACCTCCTCGCGGTCGCCTCCTTCTATTCTCAGCTTGTGTGGTTTTGTAAGAGCAACACTTGGCTATTCAGAAGGGTGCGATTTTCGTTTGCACGACTACACTCAATTTCAATGGCAAGGGTCGGAGACTCAACAGTTTCTGGTTCTGATGCTTTGCACCAGCTGACAAGCACCATCAACAACAGCGTTCCGCACCCACGATCTGCTTGATGTATGCAGGAACACATTCACCCTTGAGAGGAGGTCGAGGTGGCCCAACAAGTCCGAGAACATGTTAAGTCCATTGACTCCACCAAACAGCAAACAGCTGCCGCAGTTTCTCCCCATGTAGAGTTTGGAAAAGGAGACAACAGGCTTTAGAAAGGACAAAGGGCACAGCCAACTCACCTGGAGAACAAACCCGATTCGCCTCTTCATGGCCTTGTTAAGAGGTCTGCCATTGAAAAGAATGTCACCATCGGCTTCCATTAACCTGCAGCACAGGCAACATGAGGGAAAGTTTGAGTCCACGAAACCTACTAATTGGAGAACCAAATCTGCAGTAGGGCGGTTCAAGAAATGAACAAATTGCACGCGATGAATAGAACAAAGAGCATCTCTGAAATCGCAGCTGCGTACTTTGGTTTTCTTCCTCCCAGAACAGAGATGAAGGATGTCTTGCCTGAGCCTGAAGGAACACAGGGCACCCAATGCACGATTTCAGTATTTGCCTCCCTGCTGACACACGAGTGATGACACATGAACATGTAATGGAATTTGGTAGCACGACCTTGCTCATGTTCACTCAGATTCAACACATTTTGCTTTCCTTGACTACTTTGCCCATACTCACCCTCATACAGATGGGTCAGACTGTTGTCCTTTTGTACCTGAAATTACTGTCAAAAACGACAAGAGGCTGTCGTTCTGTTGTGTATTATGATTCAAAGCTTTGTAGAGGCCATTGACAGGGTGGGTGCATGATGTGGCTGCACAGGAGCACCCTCCAATCCATAGACTGGAGATGTTTGGACAGGTTTTCCAAGGCTACAGTTGACAACTGCGATTCAATTTTGAAGAGGGAGTACAAGTGAAGCAATATATCAACCCACCTGATGGCCCCATAAGCGCCAGCACCTCCCCAGGTGACACGCTGCCACAAACATTGTACAGTATCTGCCAGAAAGACAAGAGCACAATCAGAACAGTGGTCACTATGGGGTGTCCTATATGTCCTGCAGCACTTCACGAAAAAAACAAACGTCTCAGTTTTTAGAAAACCATGACTGCAATAAGCATTAGTCATTGCATCGAAGCACCGCACAACGCTTTCTAAACAGCTGCAGCAGCCGCTGTTGCTCTGGCTATGCAACACGAAGCGTGGTACCAATAACACCCTGAAACTGTCAGATCAATGCCATCTGAGTCAGGCTGACAGTGCATTACAACCTTACGTCAGACTTTTCTGACTTGTAAACGAAGTTACGTGGCTTTTCTGGCCTTCAATTGCAAACCAGGATCTGCTGCTTCGACTTTTTTTTTTGCATTCATCACCCAGAAGCACCTCTATCTTCCAGTACTTGACCACAGTACATAATTGACAGACACTGGATCACGTTTTCCGAATTCGCAAGGCAGTCTTTCTTGCTCTAACTAGCAGGTATAACCAGGCTCGCGTTCAGGAATCGAGGAGCCATTACATGACCTCTCCAGACTCCCAAAGAGAAAAGAGAGGTGGAGGGAAGCCGCGATATCGTCATAATCATCTCTGCCATTTAGTCAAAAACATGAGTAAACAAGCCACCCCAGCAGGCAACCACGCCAATGACGGCCGAGCACAACGGGCGACTTCAAACGTCAACAACGCCGCGAGGCAGTGAGGCCACACAACTGCCTATTGCTGACCGTTCAGCCACACGCACCGAAACGAGCTCGAAACTCCCTTTGAAATCAAACAGCGCCGCCTTATGAAAATGGCGCCACGCGCTGTCGAGGCCAGCGGCCTGCCGCGCCATCACCGGACGCAGTCTGCGCCGCCGCGCCGTGCAACGCCCCATAGATCTGAGCCTAACATGTCGATTCAGTCAAATTTTCCATTCCCGATTCAACACAAACGCGTCCAGTCGCGCCGCTGGCCCCCCGCGCCTACCCACCTGCCGCCTGGCGCCCGCCGGCTGCTCGCCCCTAATCTTGCTCCCGATCTTCTGCAGCGCCCTGCCCATCCCCGGCTTCTGAAACGTCGCCGGCACCCAGCCATTGACCCCCCTGAACTGCACCCCCACCCTCCCAGACTCCGGGATGGCGTCCAATAGCGACCCCTTCACCCCCTCCTTGTCCAGAATCGGCGCCTCAGGCATCGATTGGGCCATCGGGCTCATCGTGCCCGCCGCCGGTGGCCCGCGGAAGGCCTCTATGGAAACGCGGATGTCGCGCTCCATGGACCCCCTGAGCTCTGGCGACTTTGGAGGAGCTGGAGGCCGGCTGCCCGCCTCAATTGCATCATAGCCCTCGCTGCCGGCGTGCGCGGTGCCGTCCATCCTCCCCGCACTCGCCCGCACCGTCGCGATGCGATGCAATCAGCGACCCGCCGGTCGATTGTCTGCGTCGGCGCTCGGCGCTGGATTCCCGCAGCAGAGGTGGGCGTTAGCGACGCCGCAAGCGACAACAGCCGGGGGAGCGGCGTGGGGTGGGGCGGGGGGAGCGGTGGCGGGTTTCAGCTCAAGTTGGAGCAGTGCTGCACAAATATCCACGGAGGGAAGGGGAACTCCGTGGTATGGAGTGTGTGGCGCAGCGGAACGGGCCACGCGGGCGCCATCGGTGTGGTGCTGGGTGTGCGTTGGCGGCCATTGGCTGTGCGCCCGCCGGGGGCTTGCCCTTCTGTGGCTGGCCTGCGCGCTCCGCGATGACGAGGCTCGACGTCGTTTGACGTCGAGGGTTTGCGTGTAAGATTTCATCATGGTGACGATGCTGCCTAATGGCCTGTGTAATGTTAGTCATTGGGCGGTGCTGGCGTCCAGTACTTTGCAAAACTAGGCGTCGGGTGCAGTGGCGTTCCATGTACAGCGGGCCCCCCGTGACGTGGCCGAAAGGTAGGCGCTGTTGGGGGCCGGGGGCGCTGTTGTGTCAAGGGGTGTACCCTGAGCGGCCGGTGTAAAGGGTACCCTGGCCGCTGGTGTGGGGGGTACCCTCGTTGCCGGTATAGGGGTACCTTGGCCTCCGGTGAGGGGGGCACGCTACACCTAGCCAACCGGGCCCATACTGGCTTTTGGCGCGAGCGACAGTCGCAGCGCCGAAGTCGCGGGCGCTGGGGCATGTCGCGGTGAAATAAAGTACTACGGGAACGGTAACGAGCCGTTCGGGGGGTCGCTGAACCCAGACAGGTTGCTAAATAGGGGTCTCTAAACTGGACCCCTGACCTAGTTTGAGGCCCCACTGCGCAACAAAGCTGCATAAAGTACTACAGAACTGGAGACAAGCCAAAAAGGGGGCGCTATTGGGGGGCGCCGGACCCCGATTGGGTGGGCGTTCCCGATACGCAGACATCAGACCGGTACCGAGACCGGTACCGGTAAACGGACCGAGACCGGCACAGGGACCGGTTTTTGACCGTATCGGGATTTTGGTTTTTAAGGCTTTTTGTCTTTTTAGTTTTTTTAGTTTTTTGGGTTTTGAGATTTTTGGATTTTAGGGGCTGAGGTACCGGTACAACATCTGCGTATCGGGAGCATTGGGGGTGTGTGACTGGTGCGATGGGCATTAACGCGGTCTTGAATGCTGCATAATGAACATCGACTTCAAAATGGCCCACGTCTGTCCACTCACTAGGATCTGCTGAGCGGCATGGTCAGCCGAGGTCCACAAATTCCAACCCACGCCCCTTCGCCCGCATCCGGGCCAGGATCGTCAGAGGGCAGGCGCCACAAGGCCCCAACCCGCGGACCACCCTCCTCCCCTGGGTTTCGAAACGCTCTGCGGGCGCACGCCCGCGCCTGCACGGGCCCTGGCACGCCGCGAGAGGCGCATCCCCTGACCTTCACCTGACCTTCCGTGAGAATCCGGGAGCCCCTCTCGGCTGCATCGACTGTGGCGGCGGCGGCTGGGGCAAAGGCTGGCCGGCGTGATCTGGGGGATGGAGATTTGGGGCATTCGGGGCGGAGATCCGGAGGGTGGATCGCGGCTGGGAGGAGATCGGGGCGGCCCGTCGGCCGTCCTTGGGTGGCGCCGATCCCGCGTGATGCGGGTCTCGCGCTCGTGAGCGCGCCGTGCTGCGGCGGCCTGGTGGGTTGAGGGCCGAATGTTTTGCGGTCGGGAGTGTTTTCAGGCACGAACTCCTGGTGCCCGTGTTGTCGTCGGATTGATTTGTCTAGTGCCTGAACTTGTCTGGTTGGCCGTGGTCGTCAAAATGTTGCACATGCGGCGAGTGTGGCGCAGAGTGTCCGCGCAAGCGTGGCTCGTCTGGGGAACGGCCCGTTGTCCGGCTGACGAAGACGGCGGCCACGGCTGGAAGCGGTATCTAGTCTGTGGGGCAGCCGGCCTGGTGCGGAAAATGCCCTGGCGGATTGTTTCGAGACAGTTCGTTGAGATCACGGGTGGTTTGGATCATCAATCTGTCAGTCTCAGTGCGGTGCTGGACCAAGCGCCAGCTGGTTCGACCACCACTTGCAACCCAGCGCTTTCTGTGCAGCTTAGGCACCCCTGAAACTGAAGCGAAAAAGATTGTGTCGTAAGGAATGCGGGATTGTGTCTGTTTTCGGACCCCATGCTCTCTCGACTTTTGTTTGTTGCAGCCCAGCAACTGTCACGAAGTGGGCTGGGAACATCGCAATCTCAAGCTCAAGCTCTGAGTTGCTGCGATTAGGTGCACCTGGTTGCATCCTGGGATCAGCCAAGACGAGAGGTTGGCGACCAGCACAACCTCCCCGGAAGCACTGCGGGTTAATCAACCTCGAGCGCGCTGTGCGGCCGCCCTGCCAACGAATCGATGCCCCATCAAGCTTGCAGCCAGTCCAGCTGCCGATTCGCGCTGCAAACCAGTCGAGGTGGCCAGCTCCGAGGATGAGACCAGAAACCGAGATCAACCTTCTCATGGTGCTTCACCATGCCCGCCAAGCACCATATATCAGCACCACATAAGCACCATATCGTATTCAGAGCGTACAGTCCTGCATTTGCGTCCTGCTGCTGTGCATGTTCGGCGTGTCAGGGTGGGTCACTGGTGGGGTTGGCGGGTCGCAGCATGTCGGGCCTGGAGCATAGGTTCCTCATAAAAGGGCCCTAAACCCTGGTCCCTTGGGCTTTGGCATCTGTTCTGCTTGGCTCGACGCTGCTGGATGGAACCGCGTGCACTGCTCAAGTCCCCTGGTGTGGTTTGTTGGATGGTGGCGCTGCCAGAGTGCAGAGCATAAAGCGATTGCGAAAGTGGCTGCCGTCAGCGACATGCAAAGTTTGAGGCTATTGGCGGTGGAGGGTGGGACGGCCATCTGGATTAACTCCCAGATTTGTCAATGTTGGAAAAATCAATGCGAAGTCAAAGAAGAGAAACGCACAAAAGATTTCCTGCAATGCATGGCTATTTGGTTTGAACACTTTAGGACATAACAACAGAAGAGCACCTCCAGCTTGCGCAGCGCCCTTCTTCAAGCAGCAAGAGTAAATAAGACTCTAGAGTTTGTCCAGCTATTGAAGCCATTCGCTGCAAAACACTAAAGCCTCTGCTATAGGTCTCTGCTTGCAACATGTTATGTGTATCAATGGCCATCAATGCACCCTCTGTAAGTCTCAGGGGTTGCGGATTTCGTGAAACGGCAACTTACAGGGCATTCCAATGCATCCACACCCTGTCACTGTTCTGTCCATGGCTTTCATACCTTTCCGCAACAGATTTGTTTGTGCTGGTGTGCTCATTTGTGGGGTAGTCTGTGCGGTGGTGATAGGCGTGTGCCGCATGCTTGAACCGATGCTGTGCTGTGCAGATATTCATAACGCTCTGCAGGACTGTAAGAAAGAACAGTCTTGCGTTGCATATTTTTGCCATGTTTGTATCGAATAGCACGATCCAGATTATGTTGATTCACGTCTGGCAAGTCATCACATGTTGTTGGGCAGTGTCATTAGTTTGTCTTTAAGATCGCGTTCGTGCTCAGGCACCAGGAAGCGGTCCAGTACCCAGCGTCATTTACGGGCCACGTCACGTGATTTTTCTTCCTGTAGTGTTGAAAACTGGAGAAGTTTGTGATGCCTAGGTTGCGGATTTCTGTTGATTATTGTGGAAATTACTGTTGAGTGCATGTGTCTTGAATATGGTAAGGTGGTGCGCTTGAGCGAGTATAGCAGGCTATTGTTGTATCCAGCTGATTGTTGCACGTAGCGTGTAGAGCGCAATCTTAGTTCCATCCAGGCTGCCAGTCACCATAGGTTTGGTTGCCGTTTGGCCGCTGTCCGTCACCACTTCGTACATGACTACTCCAAAATTGAGCACCCAAAGAAGCCGATGGTACCCTGGGCTGTTTCATCTCCAGACTCTGCCGCCCGCCCTCCTGTCCTAAAGCCTCCTCTTTGTGCCCTCGAAGCATCACTCGCGATTTCTTCCTCACCCGGCAGGCGCCCATTATCTGAAAGGACCTCTCAGTTGGGACTTGTGCAATGCATATGTTTCAATCCTTCAGCTGCAGGCCGGCGGCGATGCTGCCTGCCCACCCTGAGCCAGGGCAGGTCTGCTCCTTCCGGCGTCCTGCAATCTGCCAACTCCATCATTATCCATCCTGACCTGCCGACTTCGACCAGCGGTTGCTGCAAATTTGCATGTGTAGGTGCAGACTGTGGGGCAGGCTGACGCCAGTGTGTGAAGGCTGATGCAAATTGACACATAGTTTGATTTAGGCCACTGCATGTTGAGGCAAGTGGGCACAAGTAGACGCTGCAGTGGTTGCAAGTTGGCAAGCTGGTGGATGCAAGTTGATGCTGAGTCACAGGTGCTCCTTGCTGGAATGGCTGGACGGCCTGTTGGCCTGAGGTGCTCATTGGATGCCTGCGGCTTGGCTGGTAAGTGGGAGCTCCTCTGTACGTCGAGAATGCCTGTATGCTGAGTTCATTTTGCTGATTGTCCAGCGATGTTTGACAGGCTATTTTGAATTTGCAGCATTTTCACCTAAACGGTGTGGTTTGTGCACGTGCATCACTGTGGTGAGATACGCTCCCCGGACACAGGGGGCAGGCAGCCAGTATGACTCGTACTTAGAACAGGACGGCTGGCAATCGCCAATCCGGCTATTGTGTATTCCAGAATAAATACTCAAATGCAGAGAAGAACGAGCATTTTGGTACCTAATGCTTTTACATTTGCATCCGTTGTTCTGTCTCGACTCTTGGAGTGGCAAGTACCTAATGCTTTTACATTTGCATCCGTTGTTCTGTCTCGACTCCTGGAGTGGCAAGTGGGGCGTGGCACATCTGCTGACTTGAGCCAATGAACACAGCCATGAGGAAAGACAAGGTTCCCTCTACTGAGGTGTCTGTGAGGACGCACCCTTAACGGAGTCAAACACTTGTCTGAGCTGTTTTGGCATTTGTATGTCCATTGTGGCGTGTTCTGCAGCCGTGCTGTGTGTGCTTTGTGCAAGCACTGTCATGGTGGGCTGTTTTTTTGTGCTTCGTTTTGATTTGATAGCTTCTGCGTTGCTGGACTGTGCAGCTGCAGTTGCCAGCCGGTCGGCCCTTATGCCTCTGCATGGCTTTCACCAGCTGTTTGCCCAGTTCGGTCAAATGCAGTCACAATGCATAGCTCCCAGGTCATTCCCTACAGCGTCTTTGCTGTCTGCCTGTCGTGCTGGGCTCCGTCGCTTGGCGTTGCCACACTCCCATTGAGTTTTCTTCCATTTCAATCCGCCACAGGACAAGATGGCGCTCTTGAGTACCTTCCAAGTCGACGATGGTCCTGTGCTGACCACCAGGGGGCCAATCCTGAAGCCGAATCCATAGCGTTGAAGCTCGGAGCGAACAGGATTCGGAGCAGCGACAAACCACCTGCTGACGATGCCCGTCTTGGGGCGCTTGCAGCGATGCAGCCGTCGGCGCGGCGTGTACTGAAACGTTGCTTCTTGCTTTGCGCATGGAAAAGGCCAGAGTGGGCGATTGTAGGCTCCGAGTCTTGTAAGCCCCTGCCTCATGATCCGCAGACAAGTGCTGTGGTGCTGCTGTGTGCCAATTTCTGCTTTGAGCACGCGCCACAATGCCTGGACCACGCATGGCGGCTCTCACCCTCGGGGCCTTGCCCACCGGCAGGCTGCCGGAGTCAGTGCTGCCGTGGAAGTTTGCGATTCTCTGGTCGCCGAATTGTCCATAACATTCGTCGCGAAGGGGGCAGCACCGCTCTGGGTCCTTCGGACGGCCGGGACGGGCGCAGTTCTGTCAGAACCGGCGACGCCAGTCGCTCACCGCGAAGCAGCGAGGCGCCTACAACCGCTGCACCTCGTTTTGGGAGCACTCTGACACAGAACGACGCGTATTCGTCGGTGCGGATACACTCAAAGTAGCCCGTCCAAGTCGGGAGAGGTACTCGGAACGGTCCACGTTGTGGCAGATCCCCTGGTCGCTTCTAAGGCAGTCCTGGGGCTGCGTTTGTGGGCAGTTGGCAAGACTTCGTCCTCGCACCTGCCAAGGCGACATGGGCGTTTCTTGCATCCACAGCTGCATTTCGTCAAAGTTTTTTCTAACCTTCCCATCAATTTCTGCCACCGAAGCGCAGCCAATGTGCAGCTTGCCCCAGTCAGTCGCCACCTGGTGCATGTCCCTCATCCCTCCCGCCTGCCAGGCGCGTTTCTCCGCCAAACTCCTCACCCCGGGCTCCACCAGCGCGGCTAGGGGTAAAATGCACCAGGGAATCCAACCAGGCTCCAATGCACGGGCCTGCGTTACAGTACTTTACTCTCTTGTCTGATAGCCCATCCCTGGTCGCATCCACGAGGCACAAGAGCCAATGTACAGGTCAGCCGAACAATACTTTACCCCCTCACCCGCGAGCCCATCCTCGTGGATCCGCGCCGCCTGCCGAGAGATCTCCCCACGTGCCGTGTTGCACAGCAAAATGGAAAAGGCTCAAGCGGGCAGCCAGTCAAATTCCGCGTTCGAGGTTTACTGGCCGCCGCCGTAGTGCCCCAAATCGGGCCCCGATTGATCCCGGCCTCAACCCATGGCGCTGCCGGCCCCTCAAAAAATCTCAGATTCTGGTCAATCGGGCCCACGATTCTGTCGGGCAGGGAGCCCAACCAGCACAACCCACCGCAGGGGGCGCAATATTTGACGGCCTGGGGGGCCGATCCCCGGGGATTGCCATTGGCGGCGGCCAACCACGTGGACCCCCGTCGGACGACCGGCCAGTACTTTGCGGCAGGCACCCAGCCACGTGACCCACTGCCTTGGCGCCGTGCTGGGCCAGGAGCGGGCGATAAGACGCCGTGACGGCGGGGTGTCGCGACAAGCGGAAGGGCTGGTAGGCTGCTCCCATGCGCTAGGGCTCGGAGTAGGGACGCTTGAGTCGCTTCTCCCAGCGCTTGCCTCCGCTTTTCACCTCGGGCGGTCGACGCCGGCGTCGCGCCCGCCGCAGGCCAGCCGGGCAGGCCGGTCGATGAGCACCGATCTGTGGCGCTCCCGCTGCCCCCTCCTCTCCCTGTTTGCCGCCCTCGACTGATTTGCTCTCTGCGAGGTTCACCCAGCTGTCTCGAGATCAGTCTCGAGGTTGTGGAGCTGCTGAGGCGTGTGTGCAAGCGCGAGGAGCCGCCAATCTCGTTCTCAACCAAGGATGGAGCGCGGCAGCGACTTGTGCGCCATCGGAGGCGAGTCCGCTCGCCCGGCCCTGGCGCCCGTCAACCTGCCGGCCAGGATATCTCCGGAAATCGTCCAGGACGTCGTATGCGATGCCGCTGCTGTGAATGGCTCCCTGAGCGCCAGGCGGCCGCAGTCGGCGCGAGTGGCCAAGCCGCAGCGGCCCAACTCCGCGCGGGCGTCGAGCCAATTTCGGCGCACTTACTCGCTGCCGCCCGCAGCCGGCGGGATTTCCGCATACCGGCATCCGGGGTACTACCATGGGACAGGGTTAGCCCCCCGCGGGCCGAGCGGCTATGAGGAGTACGGGCCGGGAGCAGGCATGGCGCCGGGGAGCCCGTGGGCGGGCGGGATTCAGGTGCCGCTTTTCAGCCCCTGGGGTTACGACATGGGCCCGTGGGGCCCGCAATCGGGCGCTTACGGGATGGCGAACATGGGCGGCGGGATGCCCAGGAGGAGTGAGAAGCCAACGAGGATCGTCTTCGTTGGGGATTTGCCCAAGGTCGTGAGCGACGGGGAGGTCCAGGAGGCGGCTGCCAAGCATGGGGCCATCCGGGGGCTGGACGCCACGCAGCGGGAGGCCGTCGGCGGCGTGTTCGTGATGTACTACGACCTGCGCCACGCGGAGGCGGCCGCGGCGGGCCTGCCGGCCGCCATCCGATCCATTGGCGGCGAGGAGGGGCAGTTGCCCACGGCGTGCTTCATGATGCCGCCGGTCAGCGTGGCCGGGATGGAGAACCAGGGGATCATCGCGCTGCCGGGATGCGACCTTGGCCGATCGGAGCTCAGGGCCAGGTTCGCCAAGTACGGCGAGATCCGTGACGTGAGGCGCGGCGGCGGTCGCTCCCAGGGTCCTGATTGGCGCGTGGTCGAGTTCTTCGACACCCGCGACGCCGAGCGCGCCATGGCGGACGTCCGATCTCGCAAGGGCCACCCCAAGGCGGAGTACGCGCCCTTCTCCGGCCTGGAGGCCGCATGCCCGCCGGTGAGCCCGCCGTCCTACCCGGTGTACGGTGGTTACCCCGTCCCGGGTCCCCTGGGGGCCAAGCGCGACGATTCTACCGCCATCCCCGGAGGATTGGAGGCGCCCGGAATGGCACCCCCTCCGCCAGTCTGGCCCGTGGCGTCGATGGCGATGCCCGCCGGAGGATTTGGGATGTGGCCCTACGCCATGGCGGCGCCTGCCCATCCCGGCGGCTACGCTCGAGAGGCCGTTCAGGCGAATTCCGGAACGATGGCGGAGGCGGGAACCGCGGGGGAGGCGGGCGGCGAGGCGGCAGCGGGCGGCTACGCGCTGCCGCAGAGCTGCAGGGCGGACTACTACTGCGGGCCGCAGTACATGGGCTACCCCACAGGTGAGGCCTGTCACTTTTTGCTTGGGCGAGATCGTCGCAACGCAAGACAGCATTTGTTCCACGGTTCAGCGATTTGTTGCTGGCTGAATTGTCGCTCCTCGAGAAAACAGGCCATGCCCCGCGGTTGCGTGGTCTTTTCCTGGCGTGCGAGCGCTGTTTTAATTGCGATGATTGGCATTGGGTTGTGGCGCGCCCCTGGGCCCGTGGAGCGATCGGAAGGCGTTCGTCGCGGGCCGCTTTGTTGCAGCAGACGGAGCCGTGCTGTGAGAAGCGCCTCTAGGTGCGCCTGGTCGCCATCGGGGTTTCCCTGTCGTCGATTGTTCGACTTGATTGGACTCGATGTGCGACTTTTCGGATGCTGTTTCAGGACGGAGATGTGGGAGGCGGTGTGGGAACGTGTCGCGAGTGGCTCGCGAGTTGAGTTGTGTGGGGACGATGCTTGGCCCTTCGGCGACAAGATATTCACAAGAACGGACCTGACCATTTTCCCTTCTTTTAGGACAGGGTGGCGCCTAGACTGTTTATATGTGAAAGTTGACACGTTTTAATGTTGTCCTGCGCAGGTATGCCTACCATGCTGCCGTTCGGCCCAGGCGGCCAGCCAATGATGATGCCTGCGGCTGGAATGTACGACGCCAGCCTGATGGCTGGGCTGCGGCCGGAGATGCCGACCTCGCCCGTGCATGCGCCCGCAGCGTCGGAGACGCATGCCTGGAGGCCGCACCGCACCGGGCGGGGAGCCGGCGAGCGGAGCTACGATCCTGCTCAGGTGTGGATCGCTGCTCTGTCGAGGTCCTTTAATCCAAAGTGCTTGGATCGCATTTCAGAGTCTTGTTAAATGTCGCCGTTCCTGTCATACTCACAAGTTATTGCAGGACAGATCTGATTTGCTTTTGTTGTTACCGTTGTCTCAATCCAAGATGTGGGGAAGAGATTGCATCGAGCACTCCGTGTGCTTGTGTCCATTTTTGTCCATTTTCCATATCATTCTAGAAAGGATCGAGGGGTATGTTCAGTGATGTGTTTGATGTCCAGAAAGTGCATGACAAGGAAATCAGGCCCTGCTCACGGCGCTGCTCCGGCAGAGCGGAATCCAGCGCCCCCAAATTTCTTCCTTGTTCAGAAGGGAAAAGGTTGCATGGCTGGGCACCAAGTTTGATGTGGTATTGTGTCCCTTCTGCACTGCAGTTTCAGTTCAGCATGGATGAAGCCCGCACAAAGTCGACCAATGCTCGCACTACCCTGATGATCCGCAACATACCAAACAAGTACAGTCAGAAGATGCTGCTGGATGTGCTGGACCGGAAGTACAGGTACTGTGCTAGCATACTTTCCCAGAGTGCGTGTTTTCTGGGTGTGGTGCCATACTGGTCTATATTGTGTGAAAGGGTTGCATTGCAGCACCACAAAATGTGTGAAACGCCATCCATACTTTTGTGCCGCACTGGTCTATATTGCGTGACAGGGTGCATGGCAGCACCACAAAATGTGTGAAACATCATCCACGCTTTTGAAGGTGTCGTTTGTATGGAGAGTGCATAGTAAGGCATCATGTGTGTTCATATGTTCGCAAGCTGCTTGGAGAGAATGTAACTGGACAAGGCAATGTGCAAAATATTTTGTGTGAACTGGGTCTGGTGGCTCACTAGTGTACTGTCTGGTGTTGCCAGTGGGCGGTACGACTTTTTCTACCTGCCCATCGACTTCAAGAATCGCTGCAATTTGGGGTATGCCTTTGTGAACTTCAAGACACCTGCAACCACAGCCGAATTCTACAAGGAGTTTCACTCCAAGAGCTGGGAGGAGTTCAACTCGAAGAAGGTGTGTGCAGAAATTGTGCTGTCTTGTGTGTGTGCCTCGTGGTTCACCCTTGTTGCTGCTGTACTTTCGACTGCTCAGGTGCTGGGCCCATCCCAGCAGAAGAGTTCTGGTTTGTCTCAAGCCAGTGTCAGATGCCCTGCACAGGTTTGTGGGGGTTGGGGGTTGGGGGCAATTTGCAAGAAATCGTTTACGGCCAGGCAGACATTTTTCCCATTCGCACACCACATGCATCCCACAGGGCGTCGAGCCCTCGTCAGCTAGCCAATTTTGCTTGAGGCGATGCAGCAAATGCAGTCGAGAACCTCATGCTGGCCCCCCTTCATCTGCTGCGCGCCTGGGTGTGCACCGTCCTTTCCAGCGAACCTGCCTTCGGCCGGTTTCTATAGGCAAGCACTGTTGCAGCAGGCAGCAAACCTTGTTTCTCTACACAGCGCCACGGCTGTGAAGGGCTCCAGCGTGTGATGTACACGACTCGAAGTAACTCGGCACGTGCTGCGCGTTTTTGGAAAGCAGTGTTTCGTTCTTCACAGCTGCAGGCCGTCAGGATTCCCATTGTGTGGATGTGCAGGTGTGTGAGATCACGTACGCTCGGGTGCAGGGCCGCAATGCCCTGATCGAGCACTTCCGCAACTCTCGATTCCCCTGCAACGAGCCTGACTATCTGCCACTGGTGTTTGAGGCAGTCGATGAGGTAAGCCCTTTGCAGAGAAGGCCGTGTACGGTCGGTCTCGTTGGCAGCCATCTCAGTCGTTCTGTGCGGTTGCTGTCAGCATCGTGGGCACTTGACCGATGCCTGTGTGGCCCTAGTGTGCTGTACTCTGTCGTATGTGTACCCTCAACCCCATCTTGCACCAGTCTGCCAATTTCGGAGGCAGGACCGGACAAAAGTACTAGGTGTTTCTCTGTGAGAATCCTTTTGGTCGTTTGGGTTGTCTGGTGAAAGCTTCCGGGGACCCTTCTTGCCCTCAAAATGTGAACCATGGTTGCCCTCATCTGCATTCACGTATGTTTTTATTCACGTATGTTCTATGTTTATTTTTTATTCATTGCACTTATCCCGTTCTAATATGCTTCAAAAGCGTGCCAAAGCTGTTCGATGCTGGGCGCCGCCCGGGTCTCCCGAACCGCAGGTTTCTGGGTGATTTGATTTTGCCTTTTTTTAATTTAAATCCTGGTATAGTACATTGCGTGTAGGGGCCACCTTGTTTCCGTTGCAATTGTTGTTTCCATTGCGAATCAGATCGCACAAAGAGCGTCGACGCCAGAGTGTGTTGCGAGCCGATTCCGCCCTCGCACATGTCAGACATATGCCTGAGTGCGTGATTCTTGAATTGACCTCTGGTCCGTTTGTTTTTGTCAGCAGGCTGATCATGGAAAGAAGACAAGCCAGCCAGTTACAAAGGCGACGCCTGTGCACCACTGGACGACCATGCACTACCCCAACACTGCAGCTGTCGCGGCGCATTGAGTTGTTCAATTCATGGCAGAGAAATAAGACAGCCTGTTCGGCTGCGTGGGTGGCCCGTGTACCTGTAAGGTGGGCATGAGAAGATAGGGCGTGGGTTCTTTTATTTGGAAGGGGGTAAACCTGGGATTTTTTCTTGGGCAGATGGGCCGCTTGTGGCCCGGGATCGGACGAAGCACCTGGATGGCTGGGGGGATTGGTCCTCAATGCACTGCGCCTTGAAAAGGATATAAACAGCGCTATGCGCGTGCGCAGCGTACGTGCAAGAGTCGTGGGTGTTGCATTCAGAGTCATGGAAAACGTGTGTACAATGACGTGTGGGATTGCAAGCATGCCCGTGTGTTTCGTGAGGGCTGTCGATACTTAGCCTGGATGGTATTCGTGTCGATGCATGGCAGCCCCGATGGGACTGCCTCTGGGGGTTCCTGGGAATGTGTGAGAAAGGGAACGAGTATGGGAATGTGTGAGATTGGGAATTGTTTGTGGACGCTCAGTGTGTCGTTTTGGGTGGGCCAGTGGAGGAAGGCAAGTAAGGGATTGGTTTGTGCCGACGAACGGATCGTGCAGCTGGGGGAGGCAACCACAAAGAGTCTGCTCTGTCGTCTCTGTGGAATCTTAGATGGCAAGAAACGCCTAGCTTTCTTAGGAATCGTAGGTTTCTAGGAAATTGTACACTTCTTGAGGTTGCGCAGATTCCTTGTGATTCGACAGACTGTGCCGTTTTGATGGGAGTTGCTGGCACACTCTCCGTGCCAGCCGGGCGTTGGGCCGCGCCCCTGCCGGCTCGCATTGTTCGAGCCCAGGGTGCGCGGAGCCTGCGACTGTGCTGGGCCTGCCGAACCTGTGCTGCCGCTTCTTCAGCCCTGGCACATGTGATTTTGATATTTGGCGGCTGGGCGAGATCTGATGGGATGGGGTCATCGGATGTACAGCGGAAACGACCTAGGAGGCGTGCTCCTGCTGGGTGCGCTTCGCCAGGGGAATTGATCGAATCTTCATCAAATGATCGCATGCTCAACCAGCTTTTACAGAGGGAGTCGCCTTGGGCGGCCATCATTGTTGGGCTCACAAGTCCTGGATCGGTAAGCGCGCGTCAAAGCGCCGCTAGCCTAAGCCAGCGTGGGTGCCTTGGGCACTTGAGATCAACGAGAGCTGAAATGTGACTTGATGGTGTCAAAACGTGGTTTCTGTGGGTGGGTGGGTGATGTGGGGGTTATTTGTGGGGTGGTGAAATCTGAGAACACTGATGGACGGGGGAGGGGTCGGGGATGTTCGCGTGTGAAGAAGAACCTGAAGAATGGCGGCGTGGGACAGAACATGTCCTGGTGTCAGAGCGAGAGCCAAAGCAAGGGCTGTCAAGTTTGAAGTGGGAACAGGTCCCAAGTCAGGTTCTTTGTCGCGGGTCGACCAAACACCTGGGTGTGGTGGGCTGGGAAGAAAACAATGTACGAGTTTGTAGGAGAGGCAGGCGCGGAGCCGTTGGGCCCCTGTGCCTGGAGGCGGACCCGACTGTGCGCATGTTCAGTACTGCTGGGGTGCGTCCAGTCGTCAGAGGGGTGTGGGACATGTGGTGTAGCGTGTGTATGTACAAGGGAGTCTGTCAAGTGGGAACAGGGCCATGGCGGGCCAGGGCCAGCAAGCAGGGCGGGCCTCAGGAAACAAGCGGAAAACGCGTGGATGGGAGGGCGACGGCGTTTGTCGTGTGGCAGCAAGGAGTTGGGAACACGGCGCTGTGCCCAGGCGCGGGCCGGTGCAGGCTCTTGGCCTCCGCTCCTGCTTTTCTTGTGTGCGTGGGCGCAGCTGTGCACATTCCATCGGAGTCGCTGCGGGCTGTGCATCCACCGTGGCGCCCCGCCCAATTGGGGGTAGTTTATCGAGAGGATATGCTGTCAACGTGAGATTTGTTTCCGTTGCCTTTGAGAGGGGCGCCCTGTGCCCTGAGTGTTCCCTCACGCGTGTTGGTTCCAATCCGTGCCACGTGCACGGCTGCTATGGGAGATGCTGTTGTGGTTGAGGCGTGCGTATCATTCCACTCGCAGCAACGTCTGACCTCCCCGCCCCCTGGCCCCAAGAGAACGCGCCTCTCAACGCCAACCGTTGTTTTGTGTCTCGGCAGCATCTGAGGTCCGAGTGAGTCCACAGTACTGAACCACAGTGCAGCGAAAGTTCTGGAGTTACATTCGACTGTTGTAACGCGCCTCCATCAGACCCCCCAGCTCAAGACGGGTCATTGACAATTTGGGCAAGTGGCATTCTGGCCAAGATACCGTAATCTGTCAAAGGCGCAGAAAAGCACAACTACCTCAGGTCGCGGTGCGGCTGACGGAAACGATACGGTGTGAACTTCGCCTACGTGACTAGAGCCCCAGCCTCTTGGGCGCGATCGAGGCGGCATCGGAGCCCGGGGCAGGGAGCCATCCTGCTCTTGGACACGACCCACACAAAGGCCAATTGTGCACCGTGCAATGGCGGCCTGAATGGCTGGCCCGTACACCCGACTGGAGATACCCCCATCGTTCTTTGGGGCACCCCGTAGCGCAGGGCGACGAGAGCGCGGTGGTCCCGGGCGGGCGCCCTGAGCCCCCTCGCTTTGGCGCAGACTTCTCAGCCTATCCAGCCCACTCTGAGTGGCTATCTCCGTTGGCCGTTGTGCCAGTTGGCGCCAAATGCCCATTGGCCTGAATATTCGACAGCGGCCACGAGGCCGATCTTGATGCACAAAAACGCCCTTGGTGGGGATCCTGGCCAGCGTTTGCGCTTCTGAAAGTGTGCAAGTTCCCTCTGCAAGTGATTGGGCGCTTAACGTTGTGATTGCGCAGTGCGCCCATGGACCTTCCGCCATGGCCAGATCTGCGTGGCCCAGCCGCCAGGTTGATGGGCACAATACGAGGTGGCCGCGCAGCCCTTCCAAGGATTCCAGCCGGAATCCGCCTGCAACCGTGTGTCTAGACCGTCACCCAACATGGCGCAACCGCCCGGCGGCCGCCACCCTGGTCCTCCCACAAGTTCAAAGCGACTTCATGGCCAAACCTCCGGCTGGTGCGCTTTTCCCCATCACAGTGTTGCGCAGTGGCGGCTGCAGTTCTTTTAACTCCAATACGGGTATGATAACTTGGCCAGAATGCGACTAGGCCAAACTGTCACTGACCCGCTCAAGATTTGGCCCCGACTCAAGACTTGGCCCTTGGCCCTGAGCGGTTCACCACAATGTGGCGCCACCAAGCCCTCTCCTGGGCGCCCAATGTGTCAAGATTCCCTGGTCCCCTTGTTGTTGTCGGCTGCGCAGCACACGCGACCATCCACACTCATGCAATGGAGTATTCATGAATACGTACGTTGCTTCTGTTTGAGCAATTCGCGAATGACGCTGGGGCGAACTCCCTTCCAGCCATCAGGGCGCCGACGTTCGTTGCTCATAACAGAGCATATGCGAGCGAGGAGATTTCTCAACTCTGACACACACCGTGAGGTAGGAGAAGGGGGCTCAGGCCTGGACACCGCAAGACCGAAGGTTGCAAGACCGGTGAGTCTAGGGTGGGCGGGCGGGTGACGTTCGTTGCTTGTAACAGAGCATGTATGCGAGTGCGGCAGCCGTTGCTCGCGGCGCAGGAGCAACCTGCTGCGCGTTGTGCCGCATTGCGCATTTGACGTGCGTCAGTCTGTCTCAGCGCCTAATTAGGCAAACGCCATTCTCAGATGAGAAATGGAAGCGCTGGTGCAGTCCATAAAGCCAAATGACCACCAGGAACTGCCGCATGTGTGCATGATTGCCAAAGCTTCGTCTGGCGTGTGAGCGCCCCGCAACAATCCACGTCAGCTTGTGTCCCTGGGCGCCACAGTTTTCCCCGAGTCGCTCACCTGCTGATTGCCAATTCATGGCCCCCAATATCCACCCATGGGCCACCCATTAAAATACACCAATCGCCAAAGGCCGCCACTGCCACTAGCGGTGGTGCAAAGTGTTCACCAACGACCAATGCTCGAAGAGCACTTGTATCAGCTTGCTGTCCCGCGAACGGTGTCCTCCAGACTGCCAGCGGGCGCTTCACCCCTTCTCAACCCTGTAGTGGACCAGCGGCAAGCCACAGCACCCGCCAGAGCCATCATGTTTGAATTGGGCTCAGTCACCGGCAGCTCAATCGCTCGCCATGCCGTCCTGTGCACTTGCTCCCTGCGAAGACAACCTGAACAGACGCCATGTCTGACAAACCTTTTGCAACATGGGCCCCCTAACAGCTTCCGGTGGCTTCGGAATTACCCCACAACAGCTCCTGCTCGAGTTCTTACAGTCATGCGTTCATCCCTCCTCAAGTGATGCAGTCGCCTGCGGCGATGCCCCAGCAGTTAAGGACCCGACAGACACCGGCCCGCACTTGAGAGGTCTTCCCTCTCGTTGGGGACCCTAATGGCTGAGCGGCAGTGCCCAGCTGACTCTAACGTGCCGCGACCCAGCCATGCGGTCCGACCTCGCCACAACGGGTGATCCTAATTGGGTTTTGGTTTTTGGCATCCTTGCTCCGCAAGCGGCTGACCATAGACTACAACTCGAGGCATGACGTGGCGGCCCAGCTCGTGTCGACCCTCCCGGCCTCAACGCTGCACATGACGACTTGCGCAACACAAATAATCCACTCACGGAGACTCGTCCGACTCAGCATCAGGCCGTTTGAAGAGGGGGCTGCACCATGGCTCATCTTGAGGGCCTGAAGGGGAATGGGCTTGTGTGGCCGCCTGCAAAGTATGTCAAGGAGTGAAGGAGTCAGTTGCTGATCACTCATGCTACCAAGGGCGTTGGCACGCGCATCTGTAGTTCCCTTGACAGACCAAAGTCAGCCATGTCCCGGCACTGCCAGAATCAATCCTTCCTGAATTGACCCAGCCCCCCTTCACAAATATACTGTACAAGTCAGGCGTGGTCTAATATTATAAGCTGGCAACGCGGCTAAGAGCGCACCGGAAATGAATTTTTAAAAGGCTGTCTCAGCGTTCTTGTGTAAGAATCGGCCCCTGTGACAGGGGGGTTACGTGAGTGGCGGGCCTCTCCGAGTCGGATGCCGTGGCCATATGCGTTCCCGGGTGGCGCCGGTGGCTGTGCTCGGGGGCGGGCGACGGCAGGCGCGCGGCTACCGGTGCCGCGGTTGTGGCGCGCCGTGCGCGCTTGCGCTCGAGGCGCGCGTTCCCGACGCAATTCCGCGCCTTCGCGGCGGCAATGGAGACCATCGCCGGCGCTGATCCTCTCAACGGCGATGGCCCGCGCCCAAACGCGCGGCTCGGCGTTGCCGTTCCCGCGAGGGCTCCAGTCGAGCCGCGGAGGTACTCAGAGCCTTCCAGCGCTCTGATGTGGGAGGCATCGGCGCAGCGATCGCGGCACCGGATGCAATCAGCGCGCCCCTCAAGGCCGAGCGTTCGGGGCCCCCGGGCCCTGGAGTAAGTTTTGGAAAGCGGAGAGCGGGTGTGCGGCCCCCGCTCGGGTCGGGTTGCGCGCTTGAGCGCAAGCTCGGGGTGGGGTATGCACCTCCGCCATCGCGATCACAGCGCGCTGTGTGCGTTAATCACGAGCTGTGAGTGTCGAATGCGCTTTGGCCAAAGCCATGGGTCGATTGAGGGCAATGCGGCTGCGGCGATGGCTTGCGAATCACGCCCAGGGCGATGGCACGCGATGGCGATGGTGGTGCCGGCAGAGGCCTCGCCCAACCCAGCGCCGTCTCTCGAGGTGCGAGTTGTGCGTTGCGATAGTGGGACGCGATTCCCCAACGTCGCGCGGCGATGACGGCCACCGCCAGCGCCGATGGCCGCAGCGGCAATGGCTTGGGTTCCAAAACTCAACGGTCGAAGTTCCAGCCCCACGCGAGGGCTCCCCCCCGCGCGGGGAGCTGCTCCGTTTCCCTGAACACTCTCAGCCGCGACAGTCATCGGCACGGCAATGGCGGCATGCAAGGCAATCAGCGCCCACCTCAAGGCGAGGCGTTGAGGCCCCTAGGCCTAGGAGTGAGTTGATGGGTTTATTGCGGATATCGGTGGCGTGGATCCCGCCCAGATGGACGTGGGGTGAACAACCCCGCCATCGGGGCTACAGCGCGCGACGTGTGACAATCATAAACCGAAACTGTCGAATGTGATCCGACATCCGTGCGTCGAATAACCCATCTGGCTGCAGCGGTTGTTTTGCGATCCAAAGGTGCGGGTAGAAACGGGATCTGCGGGAGGACTTCCCTGCGATTCGTTGTCGAACGAATAACATCAACTGCGCAACCCAGCCACCGAGTGAGGAGGCTCTTAGTAACGGATGAAGCAGGAATGAAAAAGTGCAGAACGTCGGGGCCGAAGGCCCGACTTCTGGACTGGTCTAATATTATAAGCTGGCAACGCTGCTAACAGCGCCCCGGAAATGATTTTCCGCCGCCCCGGAAATGAATTTGTGCGCCCCGGAAATGAATTTTTTAGGGGCTGACTCAGCGTTCTTGTGTAAGAATCGGCCCCTGTGACAGGGGGGTTACGTGAGTGGCGGGGCTCTCCGAGTCGGGTGCCGTGGGCACGGGCCCCCCCGGGATGGGCTGGTGGCTGCGCTCGAGGGCGGCCGACGGGAGGCGCGCGGCTATAGGTGCCGCGGCTGCGGCACTCCGTGCGCGCTTGCACTCGAGGCGGACGTTTCTTGGCGCGATTCCGCGACGTCGCGGCGGCAATGGAGACCATCGCCGGCGCCGATCGTCACAACGGCGATGGCCTGCGCCCAAACGCACGGCTCGGCGTTGCCGTTCTCGTGAGGGCTCCAGTCGGGCTGCGTAGGTACTCCAGAGCCTTCCAGCGCTCTGTTTTGGCAACCATCGGCGCAGCGACCGCGGCACCGGATGCAATCAGCGCGCCCCTCAAGACCAAGCGTTCGGGGCCCCCGGGCCCT